GAAACGCACTTAAGACGATCTGCAGATGCTCTCACGCGTCTCAGCAACATGTGACAGACGATCTCAAAGCAATCCATCGATTCTGAGCCACCTGGCACGTTCAGATCGTCTTCATCGCTCCCCTGTGAGTCTCTGTGAATCTGAAGTGTGTTCCGTGCTGACGAAATGCCAGTATTATGATTCTCCATGATGAATGTGTGACTGAGGTTTAGCTGTCCATCGGATTTCTTACTCAATTCAGCACTACACGTGCCAGAAACTTGGATGTTTGGTTTGATAATTATCTTAAATTTGATAAGCGGATAAGTACTGTGGTCAAGTCCTTTTTTTATCATCTTCGTCTTCTGACGAAGGTGAAGCTATTTTTGTCTCTAAAGAAGTTTGAAAAGGTTATGCATGCTTTTGTAACATCTCGATTGGATTACTGTAACTAATTGTATATCGGTGCTCCTCAGTCTTGTGTTTCATGTCTGCAGCTGGTTCAGAATGCAGCGGCTCGTCTTCTTTATGGGATGCGCAAATATGAGTCCATCACACCAGTTTTGATCTCATTGCATCGACTGCCAGTTAAATATAGAATTGATTTAAAAATTTTACTGTTTGTCAATAAATCTGTCCATAATCATGCTCCACAGTACCTTTCAGAATCAATGATGCAAACAAATTCGATTCAGCTATAACACAGCTGTGAAGTTTTGTTCTCGTATGATGGTGTCAGTGCAGTCGTATTGATAATATTACTGAATATTAAGCGTTAAGTTTTAAACCCAACTAATCAAGCCAAAGGTGACGGTGGAAAGGAACCCAAACTCCATCAGGTGACAGAAATGGAGAAAGGAGAAATCTTGGGAGGAACCAGACTACACCAGACAACTGAAAGGAGTAACAATCCCGTTACACAAGCAAAATCACTCCTGAAAGTTCATCATATAATGATGATAACATAACAGAACTGAACATCTCTCTACTAGTCTCAATCAGACCGGCAGACAAACGTCTGTGATTTGTAGATGTCAGAACAATGTTTCTCATCTGGGTTATTTGAGAGCTTAACCCAGTCCATCCATCCAAAACTCACTTTCTGCTTTTCATACAAGCCAGTCACCTCCGAGGCCCCAAACATCCGTAGTTTTCCCAATTCCCTTGTTTACAGCCGAGAGATAAGGGCATTTCTCCGATAATTTGTGCTGATTGTTGTTTTCACATGGGCCGATATCAGCTGGATTCTGCTGCATCTATATTTAAACCCAGACTCCATCAGCATCTCTCAGACGTTATTAACTGCTGCTCAAACCCGCTCTCTGATATCCAGACCTGAGACTCCGATCCAGATTCAATCTCATGATCTTCCTCATGGATTACTGTATAGGGTCTTATTTGGCACTCAGTCAGGTTATTGTCCACTGAAAGTTTCTATTGGCTTTTTAGCACTGATGTTTTCTACCAACGAGGCATCCTTATGCGCCTGTGCTCCGCAGATAAGCCACTCCACAGGACGTCATAGCGCACGATGAGTTCCTGACCGTCGCTGGCTCATCGGGGAAGAGGAAGAGGAAACGTAATGCACATTAGTTCCCTGTCAGAACCAGGAGCGCATTACCGTGTGTGTGTGTGTGAGATCCTGCTGTGAAGGAAGTTTGAAGGTTTCTGTGGAGAAACAGTGTCTCCCTCTCGGTGGGTTCGGACGGCCAAACAAATCAAATGGGCTTTCATTTCCTCATTAGTGACTTTTTAAGAAGGTGACGCTCAGGCTAATGAGGTGATTGTAGCCAGAGAAGGATACTCTGCTGATCATGTAACACAAATGAGCCGTCAAACACCAGGAAACCTCATAAACTCACAAAACACTTTCAGATCGTCAGGCGCTCTGGTCACATCGCTGTCTCACCGCTGACCCGTCTATCTGTCTGTCTGTTTCTGTCTGTCTCTCTGAGAGGGTTCGGAGCGGATCAGAGCCGCTCGCTGTCTTTATCATCCGGCTGCTGTCAGTCTGTGATCATTCAGTGATTTCTGCTACTGGAAACCAGCAGAACTCAACATACCGAGACTCAATCTGTCCAGTCACCTTTATTTCTATAGCACTTCATAAAATACAGATTAATTCAAAGCAGCTCCACAGAGAGGAAATTAACAATCAAACAGGTTTGTAGAAATGTAGCATTGCATCAGTATCTCAGCAATGGATGCTCTGCAGTGAATGGGTGCCGTCAGAATGAGAGTCCAAACAGCTGATAAAAACATCACAATAATCCACAAGTAATCCACAGCACTCCAGTCCATCAGATAACATCTGGAGAAGACAAAAGCTGAAACTAATCCATCATTAAGACGTTTTTAGCTCAAATACGAGTTCATAATCCATAATAACGCTTCCTCCGGTGAAAAAGTGTTCTGGTCTGAATCAGGAGAGAAATCCGCACAGATCAAGCAGCGTTTAAACGGCTCTAAACTAAGTGTCTGGATTTTGATGTGAGAGACAACAGCAGATGCACTTTTTCACTGCAGGAAGTTATTATGGATCATGGACTCGTATTGATGTATTGATTTCGTTGTTGTATGAATGAAGTCCACATTTGTTCTGCTGGAGGTTCAGCATTAATGAAGCGCAGTGAAAGCTGTGAGCGTGTCATCCTGAAATCTTTCTTCTGTGATGCACTGGTGTCTCTGTGAGTCTGTGGTTTGTGTTTGTTGTGATAGCGTGCTGTTCTCAGGGTTCATAGGGCACGATTAATTAACTCTGAGCAGCGCGCCGTCGATGAAGGTAAATAAATAGGAGCGTGTGTACGTTAATGTACCGGCCGGCGGGTCTGATAAAGGTCTCGTGTAATCCGGGCTGCTGACCTCCCGGGGGGTCGGGGGGGTAATGAGCTCCACAGCTGGCCTCCTGAGACCCAAACCACCGATTCCATAGATGCAGACTCCTCAGCTTTCAGTGACAACTCACTTTTTGAGATCAAAATATGTCACCTGTGAGATTTGCTTAGATCCAGTGAGAAATTGGTTTAATGAGGGGGGGTCTTACAAGGGTAAATAAACAACTGGGGCCGGTTGCATAAACTGTGTAGACTAGTCTTAAAAAGTTAGTCATCTAATTTTATTTTTCCTCAAGACTGGTCATAACTTTTTAAATTCAGTTATGAAAAGTTAGTTTGGTCTTATTTGTATTGGAAAAGTAAGACTGATTACCCCTTGCTAAGTTTATGAAACTGGCCCCTGGGTTCAATAAGTTTTGTATAGTATTTTCTTTACTCTTTACTTCAAAAGCTATGTTTAAAAGGGGTAATATTTTATGTATTTGAGGTCAGAGATGTGGGAACGCTGAAGAGAGAGGACAAACATTTAGCATTTTAGGTCAGCATTGCCGTCTAATCAGCCAATATTGTCTTTAATAGCTTGCATATAACTTCATCTTTTATAACATGGGATTTTGACCAAATATATTCAATCTTGATTTTTGTAAAATGTTGCAACAAGGGTTAGGGTTAGGGTTAGGGAAAAATTGCAGTTTTGGGCATATGAGGTAATTAAAAATATTTTTAAAATACCTTAAAGTAACTACAAATGAGCATGTAAAGCGGATATCTTTAAAAGAAATTCTGTGTGCAGCATGCCCCCGATCCGTGCAGTGTTCTCACCTTTTTTCCGTCTCACCTGTTTGCATTTCTGTGATTCCCTTTAAACTGGCGGCCTGTTTGTTTAAGCAAGATCAGGAACGTAAAATCCCAACCATGTCCTGCTCTCAGAGCCGATACCGGCCGTGGTTCTGGACGGGTCTCCGGATGCCCTGATGATGATGATGATGATGATGATGGGGGTGGTGATGATGATGGTGAAGATGATGATGATGATGGTGGTGAAGATGATGATGATGGTGGTGATGATGAAGATGGTGGTGATGATGATGATGACGAAGATGGTGGTGATGATGATGGTGAAGATGATGATGATGAAGATGGTATTGATGATGATGGTGAAGATGATGATGATGAAGGTGGTGTTCAGTGCAGGAGTGCCAGCAGGAAGCAGATGTTTGTGTGAGATATTCCAGCGTTTCCTGCAGGTCTAGTGTGTGTTTGTCTCTGATAAGGTTTGTGTGAGTTTTACAGCTTCCTCTTTTAGTAATATTGTAACCTGAGAAGGAAAGAGCGGCCGTGTTTTTTTGCTCCTTAAAGATCTGAGAGGGAAACTGAAAGGTTGTGGGTTTAAACCCTACTAGTGTTGACCGGTGAACTTTCACTGTTGTGTCCGTCAGCAGGAGAGCTGAAGACTGGAAACATATGGAATTCGATTGTAATGATTTCTAGGTCTGGATAATGATGATGATGATATAACTTTATTGTCAGACAAATTTTTCTTGCGTAACTGAAAAGTTCATTCACAGTTATTACCACATCCGTTAGTGGCGTTTTGATTTTTCATGTGCCTTACTCAATTCTAGGACAGCTTGATGCACAAAAGAGTGTTTCGGTCTCGCTAGATTAAATCTTGTGCCGCCAGTTAGATGGTAAAAGTACAAATTTATTATGTAGCACAATTGCGTTCAGAAACTATATTATTGGCCAGCCTTAAGATGTTCTTATGATAAGATAATTCATATACCCTTTCAAGTGGCTGCCCTGCGATCTCTGAACAAATTTTCATTTGGTTCAGCAGCTTTGTTTGGGAAAAAGAAGTCGTCACCTTTATTTCTCTAGCACTTTTAAAAGCAGCTTTACACTAACAAACAGGAAAGTAAGAGAATCAATGATGCAAACTTCAAAAATTAGTCCAAAATTCTGCAACATCATGCAGCTCCAGTCGGTTCAGTTCAATAACTGTGAACTTCATTCATTATGAAACCAGTTCGGCTCAATAAGCAGCTCTACTGAAGACAGAGAATGACTCTTGCTCCTATTCTGTTTTCTAAAATAATAGAACTGAGAATTTAGAGATAAATGCGTTGTGCAGTCATGTCGTTTGATGCAGAAGTGTTACGGGATTGTTGTGCTCTTGTGTTTCAGTCCGTGTCCGGAGCAGGGGATGGGCGACGAGTTTAACCTCATGGACCATTCGGACCTGTACCTCCTGGACTTCAGTGAGTCTGACCATCTCAGTGTGATGTCACTGCCTCATTATCATAATGAATGCTTAAAGTCATCAGCTGAATAGTGGCCGTGGATTAACCCTTACATTACAGAAGCTAAAATAAGAAGTGCATGACATGACAAGTTTTATTTTATTTTTTATTTAGGGTTAACCTAACCCTAACTTTAACAACTTAATAGTTTATTAATTACAATATTTAGCACATTTACACAGCAGTGCTTTAACATTCACACACTCGTCCGTATCGCCGTTTAAAGCAGTGTACAGCCCTACTCTTCATTTATTCATCCAGCATTTGCCGATCTCCGTGGCACTCCGTGTTTTACGGTAAATGATATTGTCATGGCTGGAGTGACTTGCGGTCGGTCGGTGATGCGGTGAGTTGGCAGATCCTCTCTCTGTCTCTGAGGCAGACGGCGAGGCAAGGCGCATCCGGCACCAAATAAAGGCCCTTCCTTTGGCAGCTCTGCGGGAGCAGGTGAAGAATAGAGCAGGGAAGCGCTTCAGACTCCTGCGGCTCAGGACTCACATGAGCGGAAGCCCATCCGCTCCAGACCCACTGACCGCTCAATCTGATCAACTGCTCGAGCAGATTATCTACAGCTAGAAGTGTGATTACAGTATGTGTGCTTCTGTGTTTTTAAGGTCCTAATCTGAAGACTTTATGCAAGCTAGCAGTTATTCAGTACAGTCTGGAGCAGTCGGGACTCCCTCATGACATCAGGTGAGAGTCAGAGCCTCCACACACACTCATGCACTCTCTCACACACACACACACACACACACACACACACATACACGAGTGAATGAGTGTGAAACCAGAGACAGCGATAAATCTGTTTAACAGGACTGCTCCTGCTGTGTTTTCTCAGTTTTCTCTGATCTGTTGTTCTGATAAAGCCGTGTGTTTCTCTGTTCTTCAGGTGGGAGCTGAACGCTATGACCACTAACAGTAACATCAGCCGGCCCATATTCTCCTCTCACGGCTGACAGCAGAACCCTCTCCAGACTCCCGCTCCACAGATGATTGACTTTGACCCGTTTGGATCTGGATTGCCGTTCCCTGCCGGGTTTCGCTGCTGTTGAACTTGATTCCTGCTGAGGAGAAACGGACCGTCACAATCTTAAATCAGTCCAATTATTCATCAGTGTTACACGTTTTATTGCGGTTTTGGAGTGAAATGAAGATCATTTAGCCTGTAATCTGTCAGTTCTCTGCTTGTGTTCAGATCGCTCCGCCGGGTTTAAATGCAAGACTTTACGGTTCCACACGTGCTCTTACACATCGACCGCAGAGATGATCTTCAGAGAAGACTGGACTGGTTTTCTGTTTACCCACAGTGCTTCTGACAATAAAACCTGACTCAACAATCAATAGAAACGGAAATATCCTTCTGCATGCATGCGTTCTGTCTTAGATCTCAAAGAGTGGGAAAAAGCAAATGATGTTGTAAAGTTTTCAGAAAAGGTTAGAATGTTTTCTCATTTACTCAATCACACAGAAAGATCAACACCGATCAAATAAACCTCCTCTGGTGTTTCTGGGCTCAATCTCTTGTCCAGTTTCTCCAGATTCACATCTTTCACAGTCTGGCTTTTCAGAGACGTCTTAAAATCAGATCCATTGCTGCTGTTGCTTAACACCCCTTTATATTTGATCTGAATCTGTACTGTTCTGCAGAATATTGATGTTGAGAGGTTATTGAGTCTGATGGTGCCAAAGCTGAAGGTGTTCCTCTGGATCAGTCTTCGCCTGGCTTTTATTTGCGTCTCGTCCGCTGCCTGATCAACTTCTCCAGAACTTCAGAAGGTCTGGAATCAAAGTCTTCTGGTCTGGATGGATTTGAAGCATTTTATTCGAGATTTTATTCATTGTGTCTGAATATCTGACATTACACGGTCATAATGAATATTGTGCAAACGGAGCGCGTCAGAAAATTCAACCGTCCTCAATCGTTTCCCTCATAAATAATGATTCGATGAAAGTGACTCAAAACTGTCTCAAAATGAAACCGGATGAAGCTGAAGTGCATTTTCATAATGATCTGTAGCTTGAAATAGAAATGTTGAAATAGTCATTTAATCCCTCAGACATTCCATGATGCTTTCATGGGCTAACAGACACATGCTATGATAGACATGTTTTATATGTAGTGAACGAGAGGAACACACTACTCTTTAGGTTGTGATTGGCCAGTTACTTCTCGAGTGTAAATGCTGGGATTCAGAGTGTTTTTTGATCATGTTCGGCTCTCGATGTGTGAAGGAACGTTTGGAAACGTCACTGAGCCTCGAGCGTGATTCCTGGCAGGTGGATGAATCTGTTTCCACGAGTTATGTTATAAACGGGTTTTTAGGGGGATCTTGAATTTCCTAAACAATAAAACTGATGATAATTTTGCTTATTTTCTGCTTAAATGTGCAGTGTGAAGTGTTGGAACGTGAGTGTGATATAAAGAGCACATTGAGAATTGTTTTCCTGTAACACCACGAATTTAAACACAATTTTGAGAAGACGTCATTAAATAAAAAAATATTTTTAAATGAACATTTATTTCTCCAGAATGAAACACTTCTTTATTAATCCACAGTTTGGCCTTTTTGCAATATTAATCTGATACTTTAATGCATTACAAAGATGCTCATAATGTACATTGTAATCTATTTATCTTCATTAATAATTGGAAGCAAAGTTAAAATGCATTATAGTATTTGCACATTTCTTGTTAAATCTGAGATTGGTTGTGTTTTAATGCATTATTGTGTTTTAGCTGTGGTTGCAATTATTAATGAGATCATATGTGACCCTGGAGCACAAAACCAGTCATAAGGGTACATTAAGAAATTGAGATGTATGCTGAATAAATAAGCTTTCCATTGATGTATGGTTTGTTAGGATAGGACAATATTTGGCTGAGATACAACTATTTGAAAATCTGGAATCTGAGGGTGCAAAAAAATCTAAATATTGAGAAAATCATCTTTAAAGTTGTTCAAATGAAGTTCTTAGCAATGCATATTAATGCATAATGTGCCAATTAATTAATCAAAATAATCTCAAATTAATAAGATTGATTAATTAACATGCACATCATGTGCCAATTAATTAAAGATGAAGTTGCTATTAAAGATAATAATTATTTTAATTAAAAAAAAAACCAGCTTAGACATGACAAAAAAAGTAGCTTTAGAAATAAATATTTTAATTCAACATACAAAAATCCAAATAAATAAGCTAAAGAAATATAAAATTATTTTTAAAAAGAAACAATACTCTAAATATAAAACTAAAAGCGCCAGTAGGTGGTGACAAATCCCTGTCTTAATAAGTGAACGATTCAGTCATTCATTCAATCGATTCGTTCAAACGGCTGATTCATTCAGAAACGAAGCAAGTGACTGTCTTTATGAATGGCTCACTGAATCATTGATTCTGTCGATTTGTTTAAAAACGTGGATTCTTGTGTGTTGATCAGAGATGCTGCACAACAGTTCTCCTTATTTTTCTTGGACGAAATGACTGACAATGTGTCTAAAATGTAATTATTCACACCTTATCTTCATTTTTACTGTAGGTAAAAACTTTTATGTAACCTATTTTTGTCTTTCTAAAAGGCCAATGATGATTCTGAAAGAAAACACGCAGTGTTTGTTATAGTAACATGTGCAACTTTCATGCGCAGCTGACTAACATTACCACACGCTTGTGATTTAGCATTGCTGCTAATGTTGTGGTTATTTTAGCAAATAGTTTTCTCGTAAATTCAGTTCAACAGTATTAAGTTGAAGAGGGTAAACAATCCCCCTGTAATTCGCACCCTGCTTATGACTGCTTTTGTGCTCCACGGCCACAAATAATGCATGATAAGGTGCATTACAAGACATAATTAATGCATTAATAATACTTCTGTAATGCATTATTCATATAAAGGCTTTAAGTGAAGTGTTAAAGTTGACTGCAGATCCATTCCTCTGTCTGATGTCACTATCAGCACTTCTTCATCTTAAAGCACGTAATCAGAATCAGAATCAGAATCAGAATGAGCTTTATTGCCAGGTATGTTTACACATACGAGGAATTTGTTTTCGTGACAGAAGCTTCCACAGTGTAACAGAATGACAGTGACAGAACAAAAAACACAGATAATAAAAAATAAAAAAAATAGAACAAGTAAATAAGGAATATAGAACGGCTTACAGTTAATGAAGAGCACTTCTAGATCTGAACAGATCTGTAACGATTGGCCCGAGACGTGTGTGTGTCTTATTCTCACACAAACAGTCTGGTGTCTTCTCAACGTGTCTCTCGAGCTCTGGAGGCTCCAGCAGCATCTTCACGAATGAAGCGTGATGATTTAGCTGATCTCTCAGTGGACAGAGGTTGTGAAGCTGAAGGTTAGCTGCTGGAGGAGTTGCGATGGGACGAGACACACCTGTCGGCCGGCTCGTGTTCACAGGAACCTTAAACTTGTGCCTTCGGCCGAGCTAATGGCTGGACTCTCTCCAGACCCGAACAGAGCATTAGCCTCGAGAGCCTGCGCTCGCTGGGACCTCCAGAGTCCACCACTGCTCAGCTCAAACCCCGAGCGACTGTGATGAATCACCTGAAGATGATTTCTGCTGACCTCTGACAGATCCTTTCCTCTAACCCTGAGCCACTGAAGCCAGCAGACGAACACAAGCAGAGTTTCTGATGTCAGGTCTCGCATTCACATTGATGATATTGAGCGATGCTCCAGACGGACTCAGAGCCAGAGGGGGGGGTCCACCCCAATAATTAATATGCTTCTGTTTCATTTTCTTCATCGCGAGCTTGCTAATTATTCCTGAATAATTCTCAGTCCGGGCTGAACTCAAAAGCTGGCAGCCCTATTTGAAGTAATTGAAGTTTTAGGTTTCCTGAACAACATTTACAAAATTCACTGTAGCATACAAGTTAATGTTAGATCCTTTGCTCAACCACTGGTTAATGAGATGATAGAAACAAGAGAAATAAGTTCCAATAGACTCATATTTGAAGTTAGGGTATGTTTAACTATGTGGGGTAATGTGAATCAGCAATTGTAGGATTTATTCATGCTTTTTAATGCCAGGTTGGAGTTATAGACTGATTTTCTGCCCTGGCCACCCCATGTTTAACCCTCTAGCTCCGCGTCTCCGTCTCTGTGGCAGTGTGTTCATGTCTGTCAGGAGCTGCTATAAAGTCCTGCTTATCTACAGAGTTAAGTGCGGCGGCGCTGCGGACGGGACACTCTTTATTCTGACCACCTTCATGTAAAACATGTGCTTCTAGTGTGAGCTCAGCTTCGGCTCTCGCTGAACCCAAGCGCAGCAGCACATCTCATCACAGACGTCTTCTTCAGGCCTCACACTGAAGCTTCTTCTGGAGCCAGTCTCTGCAGATGCCGTCGGTCGTATATGATGGACAGTGACTTTTAGCTTCAGTCTGTGATTCCAAATCAGACATGTTTGATATTTTGAGCCAGTTTTATGACATTGCTTTCAATTGTCGTGTTTGGAATGAGTCAGAAGATCCTCAGTCGTTTAGTGTCTGATGTGTTTTAACCCTCGTGTTGAGTTCTGCTCATTTTGAACCGGAGAGGATTTTCTTTTTCCTGACAATGCTAGTTAATGTTAAAGCATTACAGTAAAACTTACTGACTTATATAACAACTTTGCAAAAAAAAAAAAAAAAACCTGATTTTTTCCCCGCCCTCCTTGTTACACTCAAAAATAACTGGAACAAAACTTTCTTTTTAAATTTCTTATTATGATACAATTATCACCAAATCTTGGATTCAATCTTTTTGTCACCTTGCTTTTTTTCAATCAGCACAGGTTTTGTATCGAATGAACACTGATCTGAGCTTTTGCACCTCAGTTTCTAAGCCAAAATTATCCACAAATAATGCCCCCCCCTCCCCCACTTAAAAACTGATCAATGAGGCCTAATCAATCAATCAGCTCCGATAAGAAACACAAAACCTGTGCTGACTGGGAAAAAACAAGCTGCCCAAAATATTGCTTTCAAGATTTGGTAATAATATTGCATAAAGAAAGATGTACAAGCAATTTTTAAAAGGAACACTGAATAATGTGAAGGATTTTAGTCATAAAACTTTAGTTATAAAAAGTTATAATGTATTACAGCCTTAGATCACACAAACATCACAAAGTGTCTTTGCTGAAGCTGATGAAAGCTGATGAAATGTAATTGTGTCTGACTTTAATGTGCTCAGACTCCGAGTGGAATAATAACTAGCCCTCACTGTTAATACTCTCTCTCTCTCTCTCTGTGTGTGTGTGTGTGTGTGTGTGTGTGTTGTGATGATGTCACTGCAGGAGGTATTTTTACACTCCAGCTCTATAAATATCGGGTCGCTCCTCGTGTCGTCACGGCGGGGGGTTTCTCCTGCAGCTCTCAGATTGAGCTCCTTGAGAGTATATAAGCCACGAGACACTCACACACACACTCACACACATATCAGAGGTGAGGCGAGCAGCTCAACCAGCGCTGCCTAACCTAAACTAACCTAACCCCTGTCATCTTTGCATGTTACTGGAGATGTTCAGCATAGAAGCCGCTTTCATCTGTGTAACCTGGACTCGTGTTTTCTCAGATCTGTGTGAGGATGAGCTGCGACGCGAGCGTCAGGCGGATTCTGCGCGCGTCGAAACGCGTCATGTCAGTAACCAGAGCCTTATGATGCCTTCATATTAATACATCCTAATGAAACTGCTGCTCTGCATGCTAGTTTAGTGTTTACTGTACTGACAGAGACACTGAGCTATAGGTGTGTGTGTGTGTGTGTGTGTGTGTGTGTGTGTGAAGAGCTCCATCCAGGACTCCCTTTATAAGAAGTTTCTCATACTTTGAGACTCTGTAAAAGTGTGTATCTCTCACAGGCTCAGTGTCATCCATCCTAACTTACACACAAACTATTAGAGATCATCTTTAATAATAAATGGTGAAATCTATGAGGCTATTAGAGCAGCCAGTGCTGGTCTGCATGTTTTATCGTCTGGGTTCTGGTAGCGTCTGACCGTCTCTCTGTCCTCATGCTTGGATGCAGGTCCACCAAAGGAGCGTCCAAAGCCCGGCGAGACCACATCAACGCAGAGATCCGGACCCTGCGGTCACTGCTGCCCATCTCCGCTGAGGACCAGGAGCGTCTGTCCTACCTGCACTCCATGTCTCTCGTCTGCAGCTTCGTCCGGAAGAGCACGCTCCTCTCAGGGTCTGCATGCGGTCTGGATCCGTGCGTTCACCAGGACCCAGCTTCTCTGTACCACAGCTTTCTGCGAGCGCTGCCTGGATTTATTGTGGCTTTGAGCAGAGACGGAAAGCTGGTCTACGTGTCTGAAAACGTGCAGGAGTATCTCGGCCTGTCCATGGTGAGAGAACGGTCTGTTCCCTTGTGTTTCACATGCACACACATTTATCCTTTCATTCAGGGATGGTTATGATCAATTTGACCCATGCTTGAAAAACCGGGTAAACTATTTCTTCTTGAATATTTT